AACAACAACAACAGCTTTAAAGAAAGCACTTTGGGGCTTTTGATACTCTATTATATTTTTGTATCTCAGTTCATTAAGTTTTACTCTTTATCATTTCCTTTCATGGTGTCTTTTCCAGTTTATACCCTACCCCATACCCTCACCAGTTCTTAGACTGAAACTCGGTGAGTTACTTATTCATCATTTTTTATTTCCTGATATAAGCATTTAATGTTAAAAAGTTCTAACTACTGCTCTGTATCTTACACATTTTATTAGGTGATATTTTATTATTTTTTTAGCTGTACTTTAATTTCCATTATAATTTCTTCATTCACCTATGAGTTACTTTGAAGTATTTTAAAATAGCTAATCTGGTTGATTCTTCTGCTAACATGTAGTTTTTATTGCATTGTGGTTAGAAAAAAGAGTTTTATTATATTGATTCTCTGAACGTTGTTGATATATATACTTTATGGCCTAGTATGTCATCAATTTTTGTAAATTTTCCATATGTACTTGATAAGAATGAGCTTATCTAGTTGCTAGGTGCTGGGTTCTCTAATTGTCCCATAAATCCAAGTTCAAATTGTAATTTTCAAACTTTAGTTTTACTGAGTTTTCCATTGATCTATCAATAATAGAGAAACATGTTTTGAAACCTTACATTATGATGTTATAATAACTATGATTTGTCAATTTCTCCCTAAAATTCTATCAGTTTTTCTTTGTATTTATCTTGAGGAAGTTGATTAAGATCATAGAAATTTAGAATTTTTTAATTTTTCTGACTAATATTTACAATTATCTACTGACCTTCACCCTTCCTGATAATGCTTTTTTCTTGAAGTCTACTTTATCTGTTATTCATGTAATTATACTCTAACTTTTTAACATTTGCCTGTTCCATAATTTCCCGTCCTTTCAATTTCAACTTTTTTGAATCTCTATTTAGGGTTCTTGTCTTGTCTAAAAAGCATATTATTGTATTTGTTTTAATCCCATTTGACAATCTCTGTCTTTGACCAAGCAGGATAAGTCCTCTTAATGTATACTTCTTTCTGAAGTATATAATTTTAAAAATTCCTCGAGTATAGACCTGTCTGTTGACATAAAAACTGCTTTCTAAATTGTGTGTGAAAATAACTTTTCTTTTTGGCTTTTTTTTTCTTCCACTTTTCAGGGTAGTGGTTTGCTCTGTGACCTTAGCTCTCTGATGGATCTAAGAAGAGTTGTTGATTTTTAGTTTGTTCACCTTTTTTTTCTTTTTGTGAGTAGGGCCTTCCACCTTTTTTTCTTAAGTGATGATTAATTAGGTACATAGTCCTAGGTTGATAATTCCTTTCTCCCAGTACTTTAAAATTTTATCCCAAGTTTGGTTTCAGCCACATTGTCAATTTTTTTTAAGTGATTTTTATCCCTCAGGCTGCTTTTGTCTTTAGTGTTCTGCATTCTTACTACAGTGAATCTAGGTGTTGGTTTCATTGTATTTATCTAGTTTGTTGTAAATTGACCCATATGAAATTAATGATATGCTACCATTTTTGTTCTATAGTTCCATGTTATTCAATCAGATACATCATATTTTCTACATCTATGAATTCATACCTTTCTCACTGTCTTTACAAAATTATCAGCCACTATCTTTACAAATTTTTTTTCCTTTATTGTCTGTATTCCTACTTTTTTGGAATCCCAAATAGATACATTTTAGACCTTAACATTCTCTCTCTCATGTTCTTAATCTCTCTTTCAGACAAGAAATTCTGGCTGATTTCTTCAGATATGTATTTCAGTTTAGTATTTATTTCACCTCTGAATAATCTGTAATTTAACCTGTTCATTTGTTAAGATTTCAGTATTTTTGTTTTCGTTTTTAGAAGTTCTACTTTTCCCCTACCAAATCTTCTTTGAAAGTTTTTGATACTCACTTTTGCTTGCACATTTTTGTGAGTCCATCTTTTATTTTTCTAAACACTTCCTGTATAGATATTGTACATTTTCTTTCTAATAACTATAGTATTTAAAATTTATAGTGGTCTAAATCTGCCATGTATTGTTTTTGCTCATTCATGTTCATGGGTTATTTCTTTGTACAATCCTTTGAAAGCTTATGTTTGATTTTAATCTGTAAAAATCTCAAGACCCAAATTAAAGATACTTTTCTTCAGGAATTTTTTTTTTCCCCCGCTACAGCTACATACTACAGATTTGAGACCATTTTAGCTCCCTCAGGAGATCCTTGCTTAATAATGGAACCCTTGATACAGCTCCCACACTGTGATACTGGCACAAGGATTAGTCTCCTTATTATGGTGTTTACTGCTTAATCTCTTTATTGCAGTGCTTACTGCTCAAAGCTTTGATTTCATCTCAGTGTAAGTGTGTGTGTCTTGGGGGATTGTTTTTCCTTTGGAAAGTTTTCTTCCTCAATCAATAAAAATTATGTTTAGTGCAAGATCTAGTTTTGGGGTAGGAGCAGGACATTCCTTCACTGAATCTCATCCAATATACTGCAGAAAGTAATTATTCTTAAATTTACATTTCTTAAATATGTGATTTTACGAATGGAGGTAGTACTGTTTTAAATTTGTTTCTGAAAGTAACTTATTCCTGAATATAATAGATGTTCATTATTTCCAGACAAGCTCCTCCTCTTCAATTACTGGTCCAAATAGCAATGAGTAGACAGTATCTATTCTGGTGTGTCTGGTCCTCTGGAACAAGAAGTTGTCCTATCAGTGTGAAACTAAGAGGAAGATTCTATGGTTTTCTCAATCACTCTTTCTTCCTGTGGCACTCCTGATTCAAAAGGAGCCGTACTATTTTCTCTCATGTTATCTCTTGCTACTCACTCTTACAGAGTTTTAGGGTAAGGAATAGGGACAGAATGAACCGATCACTGGGGACTAAGCAGAAGCTCAGTAGCTTCCTTACTAACACTTTATGAAAATGTATTATTTAATATTTAACATCATTCCTATTTTCCCACTAAGTTCCTATCTCCGTATTTCCTTTCCTGATTCCTTCATTTTTAAAATATGGATTTATGTATTTTATTTGTTGCTTTTAAGGGAAAGAACGTTTAAAAGCTTTATTGATTTATTGTGCTATATGAATATAAAATTTTAGATTAAAAATATGTTGAATAAAATTCTAGAAGACAAAGAAAACATTATTTCCCCAAAGATAATTATAACCTCCTTATGGCAGAGATTTTATCGGGTCTTCCATGTCTTTTTATCCTCTGCAGAGCCCATCACAGTTTTGTGCATGTGGTTCAGATTTAATTTTTGTTATAAAAATTATATTGTACTCTCTCCACTTTGAAATGATACTTTTATGGAATAATGTAATTAAATGTATGTATATAGTAAAAATAACAACACAGAATTTTTTCTGTTCTGGTTGAAATAGTATATTAAAATTTTGGGTGGTTTTGTTTTATTAAGGTAATGCTGAGTTCTTCCTACATAGAATCTATGTATGGCTTATAATAAAAATGCAATTATTTGGCATAGGGATATTAACTTTTAATTTTATATTTGATTCCCTACATAATGTTTTATAATTTCACATAAATATTATTCTGTTTATATCCTAACGTAGTAA